CTTAAATGGTCCTTCTCCAGCTGCGTTCCCTGATGACCAATGGCTGCCACCTCTGGTTTATTGTACTCTACTTCATCTTTTGTGTGTCTCCTTCATCGCAGTGTCACTTCATCGCATAATCACTTTATTAAATTGCTTCAGGTCTGCTCTCTTGACTTTGTCTTCTCTCCTGGTGAAAGTTAGTTTCATGAGGCCAGCCCTTCCTCGGCTGTAAATCCTATCACATGCCTCATATGAGGCACAGTGCCTGCCACACAGTGACCATTCAGTACACTGGGTATTTAGTAAATTAATCAATAAACAAAGGCATAAGCAGCAATTAAGAGTGGGGGTTATGTGGAGAGTAGAAGAAATATTTTCCTTAATTTTTGCATGAAAATATGTATATACTGTGGTAAAACAAAACCAAAAGTACAATTATTTCAGGTGTTGATTTACATCCCTGATAGTATGCAACAGCTATGTAATAGAACATTTTTCTGGGGAAGGTACTGAAGAAGAATGTTCTCTGGACTTCCTGGGCAACTGCAAAATTATAGTGCTGCAGTGACTTAGCATTTAGGAGGATGTATTCCCTACAAATTTGAAAAATGTCATGGATTCATTTCACTTGTGTTGTGCATCGGCATTCTTTTCTCCCATGCGCATATTTAGGTAACACTGGGGCCCTTCCAGGGATTAGGGGAGTAAATATTAAATGAGAAATAAGAAGGCAGCTCATTTTACAAGTGTTTCCTTCTACTAGGTAGACATGGTTCCTGTCCCTAAGGAGCCTCACAGTCAAGCAGGGGTGACAGACTTACAAAGAAGTCCTATTGTCCTCCGTGGCAGCGTCTGTAGGAGGCACATGCAGGGGTCTTGGTAGAACAAAGGAGGGAGTTCTCAGATTTGGCTGTGGTGTGGACAGTGTTCTATAGGAGGTGACTGCAGAGTCTTGTTTTAAAGGAATGAGAATTTGCTACATAGAAAGATGTTCTGGTCCATTGGCACATACGTACCTAACATATAGAAGCATGATTAGGGTAGTGTATACCAGAGCCTGCAACCAGAGGGAGATGTAAGAGGAGTGATAGGCAGTGAGGCACAACTGGGTTGTGGAATGGGAGCCTTTGAATGGTTTTCATCTTGACAGCAATGGGATTACATAACTTACATTTGAGAAAAGGTCCTTAGAGGATGGAGGATAGCTTCCAGTAGGAGGAATGTGATAGTGGAGACGGAAGGCAGGGAGAGGTCACTCAGGAGAGTATGGAGAGCAGAGTCAGAGATGGACCTCAGCAGAGCAGAGGCACTTGGCTGGGGAGGAGAAGGGGGTTTCCAGGGAAACTGAGATGGATCCTTCAGAGGGGCGGCAGATGAAAAAAGCAATACGTCACACAACCCAAAAGAAGAGATCTTTTTTAAGGAGGAAGGAGTGATTAATATCAGATCAAGTAAGATGAAAATTAAGCTGCAAGAAGTGGTTTCATACTTAAGGTATCTTTAACGACCTCTGTAAGAGCAGTGGTGGTGCAGTGGCAGGGGCAAACGCCACATCACGGTGTTGGGGGATGAGAGGGGATGCAGAAAATGAAGACCACCTGGGGCGATGTAGAGCCAGCAGCAGGCCCTCTGTTTCTAGTGAACAGTAGAGATGAACTTGCTTGTATAGTCTGCCGAGAGGAAGAGGAAGACAGAAACAAACAAAATAGAAACAGCTCATAGTTACAGAGAACAGACTGCTAGTTGTCCGAAGGAAGGGGTGTTGTGGGGCTGGGTGAAAAATGTGAGGGGATTAAGTACTAATTGGTACTTACAGAATAGTCACAGAGGTGTAAATCACAGCACAGGGAATTCAGTCAGTAACATTGTAATAACTGTGTGTGGGACCAGGTGGGAATGTAAAGTATTGGGGGGAACACTCTGAAGTACATGATTTCTCACCACAATGTCGGACATCTGCACCTAATACAGAGTAGGATTGCATGCCAACTCTCATTGAAAAACAAACAAAAAAATAGTCTCTCACTACAGGAGAATCAGATTTTGGTGTAATGTTGCTTCAGGTAAGGGAAAAGAGAAGGAAAATAAAGAGAAACAGGTGAAATATAGGTAAACTTGTAGCTACAGTATGAAATGGAGAATATTCCTGACATTGGAGAGGAAGTGTACTGAGAGAACAAGGTACAAAGGTGGCCCTTGAGGAGAAAGATGATTATTTGGGGCAGATGCTGTGGAAGACAAGGGAAAGGTCACAGGTGATGAGGATGGTTCAGCTGAGCCCGAGGCATGGACATGTGGAAGCCCCCATCCACCTGAAGCAGCCTGGGCATCGGGTCCCAGGTGGAGGAGGTTACCTACCTGGGCAGGCCCAGCAGAAGGTGCAGGGGGTGGGTGGGGCTGCCGAGGAAGCCGGTGAGACAGTGGTTGAAGTGGTGGTCCTGAGGAGAGAGAACCAGCCTGGTTAGGGAAGTGAGCAGAGGGGACCATGACAGGGGCCCTGGGAAGAAAAAAGAGTGAGGTCAGAGGAGCAGTGTGCCATGGGTGGTGGAAGAAGACTGTTTTTAAGCAATGTATCAGAATCATACATCTAAACTGGCGTTTCTTTACCAGTTACCTGGGAAAGTACTTATTCTGCATTTCTGTTGCCCTGGCCCACAGTGCTGTTGGAAACCTCTCTTGGGATTGTGCTCAGAATCTGTGGCACAGCTTTCAATTATCTGAAGTGTTAGGGATCCTTCGCCCCTTTGGGAGTGGATTTGATTTTTGCCAAGTCATTCAGAGCCAAGTTTGGTGAAGAAGGTAGACAAACTGGGTAATACCATTTCTAGTAGAAATGGAAATGTAGATTTAAATAATAATACTGTTTTTCTTATGTGACTTGTAACAGGCCCTGATGACACAATTTTGGGATGTATATGTAGCCTCCTAAAGGAACTAGTTTGAGGGACATATTCTTTGGATATAAACATCTTAAGAGATTTGGGGGTCACATTTCTTCAGAGTTATCCAGTACTCAGTAAATATTCACTGAAGTAAAATTTAAAGCCTTCCACCATTACATCTACACAGTCTCTTGTATGTGTTATTGAAATCCTTCACGCCAACGTGATCTTCAAAGTGGTGAGACTAAACCCGAATATGTCTAAAGTCAGCTTGGGCTGCTTTATTTATTATCTATTTCTTTACTAGAAACTAGAAAATACGGCTGTTATTATCTATTAGTATCTTTCAAACAACTTAAGGTGTGTAGATGAAAAGGCATGTTGAAGGTATACCTAATGCCGTTATGTTGTCATAACTTAATTTGTTAAAATGTTGCCATGTCTCTGAGAGATTCTGCTAGTTTTGTCTCCTTGAGATACCAGAAAAGAGTAGTAATTTTGTCCTCAAGTCCCTGTCCTTACAAAGTAACACTGATGGCGGCATTTGAATAGCAGCGTGAATAGTAACTATGAACTTCAGAAAATTCACCTGGAATGGGAATTTGCCATCATCTAAAATGGTGGGGAAATTACATTCCTCGCTCTGGAAGAGCAAAGTATGTAGAATCTTGCCATAGTGGAAATCTGCTCTGCCAACCATTATGATTTAATTCCCTAAGACACTCTGTTCTTATTCAACTTGCTTTTATCTCATGCTTTCTATTTAAGCTGGCTACTTACCAGAAGGCAAAGAATATGTCATCTTTCTTAGTGGGGGAGCGCTGCTGGCATTCTGGGCAAACAGGTCCTCCTTGTGCGTGGGACTCCCAGAACGGCAGCCTGGTTGGCACCCTTGGCTTCCTGGCTCGAAATGCCAGTATCCCCCACAAGTCACTGTGGCAGTCAGAAATGTCACCACACATTTTCAAATGCTTCTGGTTGTTTGTGGACTCCCAGAGCGTGGTGGACTTGTTTACTGAGAAGCCAGGGAAGACAGAAAATGCTCTTTTCTGTCCCTTCTACTTTCCTTCTCCCTCCTTCTCCCTCTCCCCCCTCCCTCCTGTCTATCTATTTTGCCATGTATAATGCACACCTACATTTTGGCCCAAACTTTCAGGGAAAAAAAATCTTTCATTTTCACTTTTAATTCAAGTATTTATTTATTTATATTTAAATATCTTTTGTATTATAAAGGAATTTTAGCATTTATTTTTGAACATACTATGGTACAAGAAATTTCATGTAACAAATAATTACAAAACACAAAAATAGGTACAAAGTATTTCAGGTAATACCATGTATAATGCACATCCTATTTCCCCCTCAAAATTTTGGGCATTATACACAGCAAAATACAGTATCTATATATCCACCTATCCATCAGTCTCCTTTTTCTTTCTTTTTTTTTTTTCATTCATCGTGTTGTGAGGAAGACAGAAATAGGAAAAAGGAATCTATTAAAGAAAGATTGAAAACAAATAACCCAAGGGAGGGCTAAGGGGCGCAGAAGAGAAGAGACAGAAAACATAGCAGTGTGAGGCTGCTGGAAGAAACGCTTCTGCCACTTTCGTCTGTGGTCTCCTGTGATTCTCTCTCTGAAGCCAAGAATAAGATTCTTGTAAGAACGTTCATGTGTAGTTACATTATAGGGTATAACTGATTGCAGAGGCTCCATAAATAGATTTCACTGAAAATGCAGTTAGAATTGTGTAAGGGTTTTTAGATTTAAACCCTCAAAGAGAACAGTCTGTCACAAGCAAGTTCATCTGACTTCATCTAAGGGGGGGTGCTCTCCTGATAGACCCAGACCCCTTATTTTAAGATGATGTTACTTACATGATTGTCCAGGGGCATGGACTCCAAACTAATTTCAGCTCCTGTGTACCAAGTTTTTCATTTTAATTGTCACAAAATGAAATCTTCCCTTTGTGCCAATGCCATTTTCTAAAAATAGTGTACCTGGCTAGCATTTAAAGTTATAACCTCTAGCTTGCCATGATTGCTAAAAGTCATCTGTTGTGTATTTTTGAAATCTGCACTGACACTTGTGGACCATTCATGCCATACTGAAGCTGATTTTCTACTTTATTTTTTCAGTTGTTCATGGTGGACAATGGAGCAGATGACTGGAGAATAGCCATGACTTATGAGCGTATTTTCTTCATCTGCTTGGAAATACTGGTGTGTGCTATTCATCCCATACCTGGGAATTATACGTTCACATGGACGGCCCGGCTTGCCTTCTCCTATGCCCCATCCACAACCACCGCTGATGTGGATATTATTTTATCTATACCAATGTTCTTAAGACTCTATCTGATTGCCAGAGTCATGCTTTTACATAGCAAACTTTTCACTGATGCCTCCTCTAGAAGCATTGGAGCACTTAATAAGATAAACTTCAATACGCGTTTTGTTATGAAGACTTTAATGACTATATGCCCAGGAACTGTACTCTTGGTTTTTAGTATTTCATTATGGATAATTGCCGCATGGACTGTCCGAGCTTGTGAAAGGTAAGTTCGTTTCTTTTCCTGAGAACATAATTTGCCATATGGTGTCCTTGAAAGTGGGAGAAAGAACACATTTTTGATTAGACGCCTATAGTGACTCACTGTTGAGAATTTTGGATTCTCCGATGGGCTTCTTTTAAATGACTGTGACAAAACTTTTCTCAAGATTTCTACATCCAGCAGTGCCTTGATGATTTGTATTTTTAAAAAGATTTAATCAGTTTTCGATAGAGGGATTCTTTTATAATCTGTGTCAAAATTTGGAGACCTGCAAATTGAAGAGGAGACTTCGGTCAGAAATGTTTGTAGAGTGGTTCTACCCAATCACTGTGGTGCTTCGTTGGTTACGGTGTCGATTACTGCTGAGACAAAGATATGAGGGCAAAGTGGTGCTGCATGGTGTCTGGACATAAGGGAGGATCTCAGCGTGGTTTATTGACTGTACTGTCTGTCTATGATAGCAGTCGTGTGATCGCTAATATGGAGCCTGTAGGGGTGATATTTGTTTACTTGAACTCTCAACAGTTAGTGAGAAGTAGCAGTGTGTCTTTGTTTTGTGTCTGAAGACCTATGGTGTGCTAGAACTAGGCACACATTCTCAGTGAGTGGCTCAGCAAGTCTGAATTAATCAGTTAGAGCATCATTGATGCTAACCTTGCTGCTTCACAAACAAACATAGATTTCTTACATAAAGGGGAGGAGCTCTTTCCTGAGAGTGGTGGATCTCATATGACCTTGGTTAAGAAAAGTCCAACTGAAATTAACAATAGACAGGAACTATTGAAAAATTTATAGCACTCTAGAATATGAGGATGCTGGTCTTTGTAGTAATAAGGTTTTTTTAGTTTTTGAAAGTCCAAGTTTTATACACACATGTACACAGTTTAATAAAGAAAAATATCTGTATGAGAATTGTTGCAAAAAGAGCAAACCCACAACACCCCTCCCCCATTTCTACTTTCCAGAAGTAATTGCTTTAAGTTTTTTTAGCCATTTCTTTGGTGATTACTTTTCATATTTCTGAGTGATATTGCTTATATTATTATATCTAGATTTTCCACCTACATTTTTATGGAAGTTGAGGTTTTAGTTTTCTTTCATTTACAGGTATACACCCCTTTATGTCTCTACTCCCCACAAAGTAATTTCTCTCTTCCCAGTAAGTTATGTAAATGCCAGTTATCTCTGTTCTGTGTTTATGTTATGATGACCATGTGAACTGCATTAATTATTGGACAATATAGTATGTTAGAAACATTTTACCTTTCCTGCATCTTTATATTTTCTCTGGAATTAATAACTGCCTCATTTTATTTGCTAAGTTTTCTTTTTTTTATTTGATTACTTTTTCTGTATCTATTTTATACTAAATCATCTCTAAATTCTCCCATATCTCAATATTCTTGTACTGGATTCATGTATATTGGGCAGCCTATCAATTTAACCTTGAATAAATGTTTCTTGGGACTTTTTTAGCTGCTTCTCCATAATGCTGGGGATTTCATTTGTCTTTTTATATTGAAAACCCTTTTTCCTTGAACGCTGATTCTCCCTCTTTCTTCATTTATTCCTTTGTTTTGGCAGAATCCATCTTCCAGTAGCTTCTAAGAAAAGGCAGTGAATAAGAGATTAGTTTTTGAGACGTGTATGGCAAGTCTGTATTCTTCTCTGATGCTTAGCTGATAACTGGGCTGGGTATGAAACTCTAGATTAGAAATCACTTTCCCTTGGAATATTGACAACATCATTTTCCTCTGGTATCCAGGGCCGAGGAATCTTATGCTATTCTCATTTTAGATTTCTTCTATCTTGGAATCTTTTAGGATGGATGCTCTAAAATTACACAAGGACGTATCTTGGTGTGAACCCATTTAGATCCAGTATACTGGGAATTTGGTGGGCCTGTTCAATCTTGGAATTGTCCTTAAATTCCTGGAAAATTTATTTTATTGAATTATTTAATACTTTTTGTTCCTGTATTTTGGTGTGTGGATGTTGGCCCTCCTATATTAGTTCTTTAATTTTCTTATTTTCTTTTTGCATTGTTTTCCATCTCTGTTTTTGCTCTATAGATGGGAGATAACCTTAACTTTATTTTTTCTATTGGGAATTTATTTCTTCTCTACTATGTATTATTTTTCAGCATCTGATTTTTGATCCCTGAATGCTCATCTTTGAAAAGTTGTCTCATGCTTTCCTTTCATAGATGTGCTATTTTATTTCTCTGGAGATGTTAATGATAATTTTTTCTCTTTGTATATTTTTTGTTTCCCCAAAGGTTCACTTTTCTTCTGGGTTTTTTTTTTTTTTTGCTTCTATTTTAGGACCTTTACTTCCATGTTTGGATAACTTTGACTATTTGCTTATACTTTTACTCCCATTGCTATGATGTTATGTAACTTTTAATTAAGATAATCTTCATAAACTAAAGAGGTATATCAACTAAAATCTTAATTTGTTCTTCAAACTCCATAGGTACATCTGCTTGAGAAAATATCATAAGCCTCCAAATGCCATGATTGCTAGGAAACAAAGCATTACCATAAGGAGTCTACCTTCCTTTAAAAGGAAAACTTTAGTTGTTCAAATGCCATAGTTATGTAGAGAAGTACTAAAAAAAGGTTCAGATACATAATATTAAAAACTAGTCACTACAGAACTTCTGAATAAAAGCAAGCAGAGTCAACAAACACACTGACCTCAGTTCCCTCCCTAGACCCCCCATAAAATGTGGTCATTTTAAAACAAAGACAAAAAACAAATGAAAAAGTGCAAACCTATAGGTGAGGCAGGAAAAGTTAGCACAGGGAACAGAGGTCCCAGGTTCTACCTGCCCCTCCCCTTCTAGTTTAGAATGCTTAGGATGCGACTTGTGACTAGACACTTATCTCCTCGCTGTGCCCCTCCCCATTTCCAAGGGTAAAAATAATAGTTGAGACAAACAAAAATCAGTCTCAGCCAGACTGACCTACTTCGAAGTTTTGAAGCTGCCCCGCCCTCCAGGTCACCAAGCCACCATCCTGAGGGGAGGGGCTGAGACGTGCTGCCGTTTTGACTAAGCCCTCTCCCATGTCAGAGGCCACGAACCTCCCCGCTGCCCTCTCCCCTTTCCCACCACTGATAAACCATCCCCCAGACCCCATCAGTGTGACTCACTTCCCGAGTTGGCTCACGTTCCCCTCCCCCTTGAGTGGGGACTGCCACTTTAATAAATCTGCTGTGCTTTGCTGAATCTCTGTGTCTCTCTCTGGAATCCTTCTTTGTGTCATGACAAGAACCTGGACACAGCCACAGGGTTGGGGCCTCCCAGTGAGCCCTCAGGCATCCTAAGAACAAGAATGCTGGACCATCAATAGTAAGGAAGTCAGGAAGCCAGCTGACAACCCATCACTGATGTACCTAACTCGAGAAAGGAGAATTCTACACCAGCAGTGGTGAAAAAGTCAGGAAGCAACCATATTTCCACTAAGAACGAACACCCCCCAGCCCTGAGGCCTCAGGAACTCTAGGCATCAGCCCCTCTGTGAGTGGAGACAATGACAGAGCTTTATTTCCGGGCAGGTTCAAATACTGCATAAAAGCAGTTAGACACCTAGTTTTTCTCCGGTAGTGCCTTTCCCCAACCTGCAGAAATCTGGAAGTGCACTGTCTGAGGGAGTAAAACATGAGGTCTGTGGGCCGACTGCCGGCGTCACACACTGGAGAGAACAGGCCTGCTGAGTTGCAAATAGAAAAGTAAATAAATGTTCACATATTAACTGTTGAGACCTCTTTTTGGCCTTTCAAATCACAGACTGTCATCCAAGCTTCTACTATCATGGCGGGACAGTAACACAGGCTTCCCATGGACCAGTGGAATTGTTTAGAAAATATGTAAAGGTACTGAAATCAGTGTTCCATGCCCCATGCCCAGACCACCCCTTAGGGAGGCCCACAGTGGCAAGTTCTAGATTTATAGAGAAAGTATACAGTTGGCTCTTTAGTCCTCACTGGTAACATGGACATCTGCATGGTGGTCCCTAGAGCATCTGCTTCCCAAGGGCCAATTAAATAAAACAGCCTTAAAATTGTGCACATGCCTTTTATTTTCTTTATAAAAACAGTTCATCCTAGCTGTTATAACCCGCTGTCACTAGATACAGAAAGCGTAAGGCAAGCTGTGCCTAACCTCCTCAGCAGCCCAAAGCGTGCGTGCTTTGTAACACGCTCACATTGTTAGGAGGCTGATCATTCCTGTTTCTGTAGAGAGGACACGGCAAAGTGAAAATCCCCCATTCCCTATCAAGAAGGAGAATGTAGCCAGCCGCTACATGAAAGGGAACAGATCTGGGAGGGGTGGGGAAAGAAGGAAGACCGGACTTTGGACTAGGACACTGGGGTTCAGTCCCGGGTATACAGTTTAAAGGCTGAGTGACTTCTGGCCAGTCAGCTAACTTCTTCTTGCCTTTGTTTCTTCATTGTGAATGAAATGGACTGATCAGCCTTCTGCTTCCAATGGTAACATTTTGTAATTTTACAAATGCGTAAAAGAAAAGAACATCATTAGCCAGCATTGCGATAGTAGGAGATTTTCCACATTTTTTAATTAAACTTCCCATTTTGCTGCACATAATCTCCATGTTGTGACTTGTAAAATGCAAAGATATAAGTTTTTCTGCTTTATTTATCATAAAATTCATTTTAAATAGGATGTCACCTGCATCTTGTACTTCCTTAGAAGTTTACTTTTCTGCCTCCTTCCCCCGCCCCACCTCACTTGTATGAAGTGTGCGATACTTCATACAACATGCAGCTCTTATTTCTTTGGTTTGGAATTTGGATTTGAATGAACCCCACCAGGTCCATCTTTGGGACTATCCAAGCAAGCATTCTCTTCATGTTAAAGAGGGATTCACACTTGCTATAAATTTTCTTCTTAGTTAATTAGAATGCCTAAGAATATGTTTAAAAGAAAGAACTTTTGAAAGAGAGAGGCAGATGGCTTTCTAGAGAAGTTTGTTTTG